TCAGGATCCTCTTTTTGCCCAACCTTTGACAGGTTGATATTTCTAAAAGGAGGATTGTTAACTTAGGTTGGGTTACTTTCAGAGGGAATTGGTATCCAAATCAGACTTATGTTGACATATGCCATGCTTTTTACTTAACAGCATATATATGTATATATGTATTTATATGCATGTGTATATATATATAAATATTTGCCTAATGTTATTGGATACTAGAATAAAAGCATATAATTCCACGGAAACCCTCCTAATCAGACAGTCAACATGTAAAGTTTAAGGGTAAGAAGTAAAGATAGGGGATTGTTGCAATAACGAGACTCGTGCCAGGTTAAAGGGAAATGAGAGCTGACTTACATCATTTTAAATGTGGCATTCTTTGAAGCAAATGTCTTCACTTCCCAAAGGTGTTACACATTTGATTCATATTTTGTTTGAGGTGTTGTTACCTCTGCCAGCAGCTTTTTGAGAGGTTTGCTTGCTCCCATGTCCTTAATAGTGACATCTTGTCTGAAGAAGGGAACCTGCTTCTGTCAAGAAACCTGGTTTATGATTCAAATACAAGGCACTGATAATCTTTGATTGCCGCTGCTTTTCTTGCTTGTTTTCTGTTTTCCAATGAGAATAATCTTCACAAAGGTGGGAACTACAGTACTCCTTGTGGAGTCAATCAATACATCAGTAGGAGCTGGAGAAAGGCTAGGTGCTTGAGTTAGCATGGATGGGGGAAATAAAGAGGGCTGTATCTCCTTTCCAGGACAAATGGTTGACTGGGTGTCTATTTAACACACCAAAGCAGACCTGGCTGCCAGGTTCTCCCAGCATTCTCCAGTCCCTACCTGTTACAGGGTATGGCTGGTGTACCTGCCCCCACCCTAATCTTCTCTAGCCCAGGAAGTGGTATGCAGGACCCTTCCCTCTGGCTCTTCCCTATATTTTGGCTCTGCCAGTCTGTTTACTCTTTTCCCCTCTTGGCCTCTTGGGCCAGGCAACTCCTGGCTTCTCAGTAGTTCCTCTCTTGCTTTCCTTTCCCCTCTCCTTTCGTAGTGCAGTTTAGTCTGCCAGCCACGGTCCACCTGGACTCTTCCATTTGCTCTCTCCCTTATCTCTACAGCAAATCTTCTCCATACTGTATGAGTAGTAACGGTCTTCCTTTATTTCTTCTTCTCCTTCTTCTCTTTATCCTTCTCTTCCTCCTTCTTCACTACTATCTTTGGAAATATCATTTTTTTTATGTTGGAAAATGTCCTTAAAATTGTGGATTAGTTTACGGAACAGGGTTTTAGATTAAGGTTGCCATTTGAGATCAGAAAACATGCCAGATAGTGGACATTTTAGGCTTTTTAACAATTAACCCTTTGAAATATAAAACCTGTTTGCATACAACACTGAATTTAGATACAGGCTACTGGCACACTTGACTGGTGGGTCATTGTCTGCCACTCTATGGTGTGTAATCCTAGGGCAGTCTAACTATGAAGAGAACGTTTGGACTCTATCAGTATGAAACAAATATTAAAAAAAAGATTTTCCCAATGATTCCAGGTGCCCACCATCCAGATGAGATAGTGAAATTCTCTCTATGAAAATTGTCCAATTTTTCTAATTGAGTAATTAATGTAGTTTTTTTCTACTTTAGGATACTTTCCTCCCTGAAATAATTCACAGTCACTGTGGAAATATTGGAAAATAAAGAAAATATCAAGCATGAAAAAGTGTACTTAAGCAAAGAAAGTATTTTTATTTTCCAGTTCACATATACATAATTTCTTAAACTGTTAATTGAAACATTTAGGTTTTAAAACTAAATGTTAAGATGTAGACACTTTTCCACATTATAAGAGTTTTTTTGCTTTGACTCTCCTCAAAACATTATTTGTTGGCTTTAGAAATCTAGGAAATATAACTAGGAGTAGAAAAATAGAAGGAAAAAAACCCTCAAATAACCTCACCAGGGAGAGGCGAAGACTGTTTACACTGTAACACTGTAACACTGTAGCACAATTTCCAAATATTTCTACATCACGTAGTGCTGCTATGGAGCTTAAAGTCTAACTTGTTAGATTTATATAATTTTTAGAAATAACAATTATTTAAATCTTTCTTTTTAAGGATGTGGCATTGAGTTTCTTAGTCCCCAAAGAACTTTGATGAATTGTTCAGGCACAACTATCCAAGAATATTCAGTTATATAAAAAGAAATGTTACAACTTATGCTCTTAATCCTTATAAGCACATGTTGTTGAATCAGTCGCCACATTAAGGGCTAGCTTATGTTATTAAATAACTTGTAAAATTCTATTTTTGATAACTGTGTTTTTCCTGCTGGTGATAAGAGAATACAAACCTGTTACTTCTGTTTTGAATTTGATACCACACTGGAAAGACAGAAAAGCAGTTCCTTTAAGTCAGAAGTTAACCAAAATCTTCATTTTTGTCCAGAGATTTAAAACAAACAACAACACAAAACTGATGCTATCTTCTGACTTTTTTGGTATCAGTCATTCCTTTATTCTAGCAGAGGAATGCTGAAGTATTAGGAAGACGAAGGAGATTTTCCCAAATCATAGGGCCTGAGGTTTTGTATTGATACACAGGTCTAGTCTTTCACCTAAATTGTCCAGTTAGCTGGCCATGAGTACACTCAGATGATACAGATTACAAAATCAAGGCTAAGAGTGTAGGGGAAAATTAAGGTCTCCAGCAATTAGGAAACTTGTTTCCACATTTTTGGAGAAATTCAGATCCAATAATCATTCTGCTATGAAAACATATTTAAGTAGTGCTGTGACGTTTAGGTTCCAACAAGAGTTTTTGAACGCCTAGATATATTTATCTCTAAAATGGCTATCATGGTTTATCTTCCATCTTCTCAAGAGGTGGTTGCTATCTAAATGAATATGGAAGGAAGCCTAGGTCAAGAAAAGTCCTTGAGGATTGGGTGGGGGTGGATTGGGGGGGTCAGTGGGATGCACGGGAGTGTGGGAGGGAGAGGGAATTGGTATTTATATGCAAATTTTATAGTGTAAAATTAATAAAATTATAAAAAGAGAAAGAAAAGTGTGGCCAGAGGAGGGTCCTCAGGCAGTGAAACTGGGCTGTGTCTGTGATCTTACAGAGGGTCACTACAGCTTCAAGTCCTCAGATCCTTGGGTCAGAACCGGTCCAGTATAACCCTCTTTTGCTTTAGCCGTTGTGCTGCTTCAAGGCCAAGTGAGAGCTGGCAGTTAAAGAGCAAGGAATAGACCAGAAAACAGAAGTTCTTTCCCACTCTTATGTGTATAGGATGGGACCAGAAGGTTGACTCTACATAATTACATTTGACTGAAAACTCAGCATTTTCACAAGGAAGCTCTTATTACCTGAATATTACTAAACTATCATGAGTAAAGTTGAATGGGCAGTTTATGATGTAGGAGTTTCCCCTTACATTTTTTTTTGTTGAAGAAAGTGGCTATGCAGTCATAATTTATTTAAGCATTTCCTTACTTTCATCTACTTAGGTTTGTGATAGCCAGGTATTCTATGGTGTTTTTGACAGATTTTTACATACTTCTATCATGTTCTATACCACCAGAGAGGTAGACTACCCTTATATGCCTAAAGATTGAATAATAGGTTTTATAAGTGTTCAAATGCTTTTCCACTGTGGAATCCCTGAATCTCTGAATAAAAGTTTCAGGCCTGAGGATAGATGGAGATATATGTATACACATATTATATGTATATGTATACGTATATGCATATATTCACTTGATTTTAAAATATTTATGGAAGAATTTATCAATAAAATGAAGAAAAACATTGTTTTAAAAAAGAAAGACCATCTTTACAGCTCACTGTGCTTGAAGATATGTGAAAGACATTAAATATATTTGTTTTATGGACTGAATTTTTTAGAATTATCAGTGATTGTTTTAGTGTAGTGGAAAGATACATAAATATTTAAATTATCCATTCATTTTTAGAGATTAAAAGCATTTACAGTTCATTGATTCTAAAATAGGTCAGCTTTTGGTAAATACTATAGCAAATATCTCAGTGTCTCTCTTGACTTACTGAAACTTCAAAAAGTCACCTATGGAATAACAAAACCTCATGAAATATTTAAAAAGCCTGACTAGCACGCTTTATTGGGATGAAAAATATAAATACCTGAGGCATTGTATCATGTATAACAATGCATTTATGATTTATAGTGTTAGTATAAGTAAACCTTGGGCATTTCCAATAATATAACAATAGAACAGCTAATAAAAAGCAGAATTGGCATATTTTATCCCTACTTAGATGTACCATTTGTGTTGATAATGATAGGTGTATTTGAGTTCTTTGGAAAAGTATGTAGGTGACAAACCAATAGTTGATGGATTCACATTGTCTTACTACAAAAGAGGCATTGTGTATTCTAATGGGATGTTTTTTATGTATCTAATACCAACCTGCTCTTTAATGTAGCATAACTTCCATAAGAGAAGTTATCACACTGATAATAATCATATATAAATAACTCCTAATAATTAGCTTTTTTCGTGGCCTCTGTTTTGTTTTTTCAAAAGGACCAACATGGACAGAGGTTGTTGTTATATGCCCTAGACTGGACAAGCTGTAAAGCTAGTCTGACAAAATGTTACCTTCTTGGAAGCCACATCTTGGAGCCTTCCTTCATCTTCAAGGACATTTGTTTTCTACCAATTCCTATAATATTAGTTAAGCTCATCCTTACTAAGAACTGGGGGTTCTAACTGTCTTTTCATATTTTAAAATATTCTTTCAAAACTCTATTGCTATGGATAATGGTTCTATTTTCAAGTCACAAGTTAAGGTTGAGTGTATAATCCAGGGGAGAAAGAACTTCATCTACAAGTTCACCTTCAGAGCTGAAAAGACAGCTCTGTGAAAGATATACAGGGGCTTCTGGCATTCTACATCAAGGGACACTAGTGTTTCCAGGACTCTGAATTCAGTGTTGAGTCTCAGAAGACATCACAAGAAGTTCCTACCTGTACCAAGCTATATCCCGTGCGCTGGACCAGTGCGCGGAGGGCTGCTTCCTTCTGGGTGCCGCTCAATCCATCCCCGGATTTGTGATTTGATTCCATTGACAGTGATTATCAGCAAAAAATCAGGTTAATTAGGGTTGCTCACTGAAACCAAATTTAAGATAAATTAAGTAAATTGCTATAGCCAAGTCCTCAATTGCCCTTCATGTGAAGGGCATATTTAGGATAGGCCTATAAATGAATCATCAAGGTTATATCTACTATGAGCTTCATTCAAACAAGCCTTGCCAAATGTATTTAAAATTATGCTCTTTTAAAATTATATATAATTTAAAATTATATATAATATAAACCTTTAGAAATAAAAACTGAAGGTTACCCATTCTCTAAAACATAGTCTACTCGTTCTTGGTTCAATTACCTTAACACGTTGCTAAATATATGAACAAATTTAGTTCATGTCAATTAAAAGGATGTGAAGGGAGACAGCCTAGCAGTAAGACTGCTTGGTGCTCAGGCATGAAAACCTGAGTTCAAGTTCAAGTTCCCTGAACCATGTACAAAGTTTGCAACCCTAGCACCATGGTGGCATCTCTGGAGCTTGTTTGCCTCCAGCCTAGCTCTGGGCTCAGCAAAAGACCCTGTTTCAAGAAAATGAGGTGGAGAGTGGTGGAGCAGGGTGCCTGATGTCTTCCTCTGGCCTTAAGTGTATACTGCGCATTATGCACCTGTGTATCACACACACACACACACACACACACACACACACACACACACACACGGAGGTAGGGAGGAAGAAAGAAAGAATGAGAATGTGCAGATTTCAGAAGAAGAGGCTGACACTAAACCAAGTGTGCTAAGGTAGGAGGCCAAAATTCTGAGGTTGACCTTTATTAATCTACCCCAGATGGCATATGTATTTCCAGAGACATTTGCCTATTTATTTTACAATAGTGTTATTTGTTTTTTAAGAATTTTATCAAAAAATAATTTTATCAATTAATTAATTGTGTGTGTGTGTGTGTGTGTTTACGTACATACATACATACATACATACACAAAGCACACACAGAGGTCAGAGGACAACCTTCAGAAGTCAATTCTCTCCTTCCACCATCTGGGTCCTGAGGATTGAACTCAGAAGTTAGACTTGGCAACAAGTGCCTTTACCTGTTGAAACGTCTATCCAAAGGTTCTGCCCTTGTTTCTAATCTTGATTTTCTATCTTGGTTAGGAAATTATAGTCTTTTACACTATAGTTGTGATTTGAGATTAAGTGGCAACTCAGGTTAGGTCATGTGGCTTTACTACCACAATTAGACTACATAGTTTCTATGGATAGTAAAATATTGGTCAAACTGTTGGTCGGCACAGCTGTAGAAATTGCTATGTAGTAATCTTAAACATAAACAAAAACTATAAAAACGATTTTGAAAATTTACCTCTGAATGGATGGGGAACACGGCGAGGGGTGGGGGTGGGGAGTGGGAGCTGGGAAGAAGAGAGGGGGTGAAGAGGAAGAGAGTTGGTCATGGGGGAACAGGAAGTTGAGTGGGTGGGGGTAGAATAGGGGGAAGAGGGAATCATGGGATAGAAGACAGATCAGGCACCAGAGTGACCTCAAGTGATCTAAAGGGATAACACCAATTGGCAAGCTAAGCAATAGTGGAGAGACCACTTCGAATGCCCATTTCTGATAATGAACTTGATGTCTATAACCATTCGGGAGCCTTCATCCTGTGACTGATGGAAGCAGAGGCAAACACACAATCACTGAACTGAACCCAAGGAACCCAGTGACAGAGAGAGAGAGGAGTGATGAGCAAATTGGCAAAGACTGGGCTGGCAAGACCAGCAGAGATGGCTGATCTGAGCGGGGGGAGAGCTCTTGGACCCCAGACCAACAGTGGGGAGACCAGCATGGGACTGATCTGGACCCCCCCAAATGTGAGTGTCAGCGAGAAGGCCTGGGCAACCTATGGGGCCCTGAGCTGTGGATCAGTGTCTATCCCTGGAATACAAACAGTTATCGTGTGCCTATAGCACAAAGAGGGATGCTCTCTCAGCCTGGACTCTTAGGGGAGTGCCTGGACCCTACCCAGAGTGAAATGACAGACTCTAGATATCCCCTATGTGGAGGGATTTTGCAGTAGGGTGGGAGGAGGGGGAAGGGGAGTGCGGGAGGAGGGGAGGGAGAGGGAGCTGGGATTGACATGTAGGACAAGCTGTTTAAAATTAAAATAAAAAATGATAATAAAAAAGATTTATAAAGAAACTATTACAAGTGTTACATTTTGTATTAGTTTCTTTGTAAATGTTACTAAATTTGCTAAATGTTACTAAAGTTGCTATTTAATCAGGAAGCTCTCAGATCCTCCCTTTGTGCCTTGCTTATCCTGGAGACCAGGAAGGACACGGAGGATCTGATAAAGTTATTTCTATGTGCCTTAATAGCTATGAAGGCAAAGTCTACAGTCTGTTGGCCAAGTTGTAGTTTTTCCTTTTCTAAACTTCATTATTTCCATCAAGAAGGTAATAGTTCATGATTACATGATGACTTTGCTTTTTTTTTTAAAAAAAAAACTACCTTGAATTTTGGTTAATAATTACTAACAGTTTTAAAAGGAATTTTGACATCACAAAAGCCTCTCAGCCCATTGGCGTTCACTATGAAGTTTTGAGAAGTCCTTTATTATGTCTAAATCTCAAATCACTGGCCATCAGTATATCAGAATGAAAGTCACAATTTGCAACTAAAGGCTCTTTAAGGATTGGGTGTATTTTAGTGACATTTTTAGTACTTGATTAATATGTGTGAAATCTTAGGTTTAAACATGAGAACTCCCAAACAAAACCAACCCAAACCCAAAAGAAAACAAAACAAAAAGAAAGACAAAAGGAGAATAGAGTTGAGGAAGTTTGTGGAAGAAGTAGAGGCCCAGTTATGGGGACTGATTTTATCAGTGCCTTTATCAATTTGATTGGCAGAAAGACAGATATCCCAGTCTGAATTTCAAGGAAGTTTCCACTGGGAGCTGACTTGGGGCTGATGTATGACAGGGTTTAATTTTGAAACTGGATGAGCTCATGTGAGGACTTGGTAGAGGAGGTATACCTAAGGGGCATCTCTAGGTAACTAACTTCTAGAAGCCAAGAAATAAGGAAGACTCATCAAAGGAGACCTAGATGAAACAGTATAATGGTAAGAGAACCAGGGGCTGAGGTGGTTTGGAAGCTAAGTAAAGAGTTCTGAGAATGGGGGAAGCCAGCTGTTCAAGGCTCACTAGGCAGGAACACAGATCTGAGAGGAACCTTTCTGATCTCGTTCTGCTTTTCCCTGTTGTCTCCAGCAAGCTTCTTGACTATGTCTCCACTGCAGAAATGATACCCCACAGTCACGCTGGGTTTAATGAGAGTAACATGGCTTTGGAAAAGCGCTGTGCCAGCTAGAGTATCACTAGGCACAGGATCATAGCATCTGTCAGAGAAGGCAGGAGAGGCAATGCAATTGCCAGGCACCTCTACTCTCAACTCTCAAGCTCTGCTATGAAAGCTTACATGGCTTTGTGGGATAGTGCTGTTACTTAGTTCGGATAAAGAGAAGAGTGAGATAAAAATGGATGTTGACAGAAGAGGGTCACAAGTAGCATTCTGGGAAGAATCATACATTTACATGCCCACTCGGGCTTTTCACTTGTGAATTGTGATAAGGAGTAGGCTGTAGTAAAGATGAATGAGAAAACACTCCCGATGTGTTTTGCTTGGGTCTAGCATATGTGATTCAATGTGATTTAATATTCCTGCTAATAAGTCATAATGGAGAACAGCTGTGAGATGGAGGGTTAGCTGAGTAATTCCAGGAAGCCCTTGCCCTAGTTTATTTTCTGTTCCTGTGATAAACACCATGACCAAAAGTGACTTAGGAGAGAAAAGGTATTTATTTCAACTTACAGGTTACAGTCCATCATTTAGAACAGTGCTTCTCAACTTTCCTAATCCTGTGACCCTTTAATACAGTTCCTCATGTTGTGGTTACTCCCAATCATAAAATTATTTCATTGCTACCTCATAACTATAATTTTGTTACTGTTATGAATCATAGTGTAACTATTTGATATGCAGGATTTCTAATATGTAACTCTCAATGGGGTTGCAACCCACAGACTGAGAACTACTGATTTGGAGAGTTCAGAGCAGGAACTTAAGCAGAAACCATGGAAGGGTGCTGTTTCCTGTTTATCTAGCTTGTCCACTGAATCCTGCTTAGCTAGCCTTTTTTATACAGTACAGGTCCACCTGCTTAGGGATGGTACTTCCCATAGTAGACTGGCAATCAAGAAAGGACCTCACACACATGCCCACAGGACAATCTGGTGGAGGCTCTTTTTCAAATGCAGCTCCCTTTCCCCAGGTATCTAGGTGGTGACATGTTTCAATAGAAGCTTATAGGACAGACTCCCTGGAAAATCTTCCTTTGACAAATATAGTGAGGGGAGACAATGATAAAAATGCCCAGCTACCATTTAAGGGTCTCTGATCAATGTCCCCACATTCCCTAGGATTATTTTTTCTTAGCAATGAATCTGTTGACTCAAATGTATATTGCCTACTGAATAAATGGGCTTCCTGTCCTGAGTGTGGTAGTCATATCTGTATTACAAGCCTATTGGACAAGGGGCTGCAGCAATGAGAATCATGAGTTCAAGGCTAGTTTGGGCCACATAAGAAGACCCCATGTTAAAAGAAATAGAAGGTATCCCCCTTTGCTCTTCTGCTTCTATGCTAGGAGAAGCCCTTTGAGCCTCAATGACTATATGTGAAATTAGGATAGTGGTATTTCTTATTTAATCTTCTGAGGATTAAACATTTAGAGAAATATCAAATGCTCAAAATGGTCTCTGACATTTAATACTCACACAATGTTGGCTATTATATCTCTACATATAGATGAATATATAGATATGTATGCATACCATGTGGTACATAAGTCTCATGTCATCAGCATGACATACCAGTATGTTTCTTTAGATTTCCAGGTTCACTGCTTACAACTTTCCCTTCCCTTGTCTTCCAACTTCAATGACCTTGTTGATTCCATCTAGATTTGGTTGAAAGCCATTTGCTCTGTGCTGTCTTCTTTGACA